GCGTTGGGAGAGCTCGCCTATTTTTTCATCTGATCACGATGATGCTGCAAGTTCTTGCACAAGTCTTCCCTTCCACGCGCTTCCCGTTCATGTCAGGAAAGATTATCGGTTCCTCGAAAATGGGCGTTTCGCCCGAGACATCCTCGAACAATGGGATGCCGACAGAGCTCTTGTAAGGTATCTTTTCGGAGCGATCTCGGATGACCCCCAAGATGGCCCAAGAAGCGAACATATTGAAAAACCAATGTGTTTAAACTACCTTCGTTGACAAATCAGCGTTTCGCTCGAGACATCCTCCAATAAAAAGCCTCTTCCTCCTCCTCCTCCTCCTCGTCATCCTCCTCCTCCTCCTCCTCCTCCTTCTCCTTCTCCTCCTCCTTCTGTTCTTCTTCCTCCTTCTCCTCCTCCTCCTCCTCCTCCTCCTCCTCGTCCTCTTCCTCATCTTCCTCCTCCTCCTCCTCCTCGCCTTCTTCCTCCTTCTTCTTCCTCCTCCTCCTCCTCCTCCTCCTCCTCCTCCTCCTCCCCTCCTCGTCAGTCTCCTCCTCCTCCTCCTCATCCTCCTCTTTCTCCTCCAACTCCTCCTCCTCCTCCTCTCCTCCTTCTTCCTCCTTTTCCCCCCTCCTCCTTCTCCTGTTCCTCCTCTTCCTCGTCCCCCCCCCCCTCCTCCTCCTCACCTCTGCTTCTGCTGCTGCTGCTGATGCTGCTCCTTCTCCTCCTCCTCCTCCTCCTCCTCCTCCTCCTCTCCTCCTCCTCCTCCCCTCCTCCTCCTCCTCCTCCTCCTCCTCCTCCTCCTCCTTCTACTCCTTCTCCTCCTCCTCCTTCTCCTCTCCCTTCTTCCCCGGTCGTCGTCTTCGCCGTCGTCTCCCTCATGCGGAGGAGTTGTGAGGATACTCAGGAATATGTTTGTGAACGTTCGGGGGGCGCGTGCGTCGGCGTCGGTGCCGGCCTGGTGTCAGTGTAAGCTGTTCAGAAAAGTCTCATGCATGAAACTTTCGTGTACGCCTGCGTTAGCGTCGGCGCTGGCTTTGGTCTCAGCGTAAGCCGTTCAGAACAGTTTCCTCCTCCTCCTCTCTCGTTCTTCCTCCTTCTCCTTCTCCTCCTCCTCCTCCTTCGCCTCGTCTTCCTCCTCCTTCCCCTGCTCCTGTTCCTCCTCTTCCTCGTCCTCCTCCCTGTCCCCTCCTCACCCTCTGTTCCTGCTCTTGCTGCTGCTGCTGCGGGTCCTCCTCCTCCTCCTCCTCCTCCTCCTCCTCCTCCTCCTCCTCCCCCTCCTCCCACGATTGTCGTTTTCGCCGTCGTCCTCCTCATGCGGAGGAGTGAGGAGGATAACCAGGAAGATGTTTGTAAACGTTCGGGGGGCGCGTGTCCATACGTATCCTTTGTGAGCGTTCGGAGAGCTCGCCTATTTTACATTTGATCACGATGATGCTGCAAGTTCTTGCGCAACTCTTCCCTTTCACGCGCTTCCCGTTCACGTCAGGAAAGGTTAATGACGGGGTACAGGGCGCACTTTGAAGCCACGCTGGCGGATTTTTGAAAACATGGCCGTTTCGCTCGAGATGTCCTCCAAAAATCCGCCCAAGAGGGGACTCCGAATCGACGTCATGTTCGAATCGCTCTTGGAGGGCTTTCCAACGGCCCACAGGAGGCCCAAAAGACGCCCCGGAGAGCCCCAGGAGCGCCCAAGAGCGCCCCAAGAGGGCCCCAAGAGCGCTCCAGGAGCCACCCAGACAGCTCACAAGAAGCCCAAGACGCCCGAGAAGGGCCAAGACGGCCCCAAGAGACTCCCGGGAGCGCCCCAGGAGGCCCCCAAACGGCCCAAGAACGCCGCAAGACGGCCCAAGATGGCGCCGAGACGGCGTAAGAAAGCTCCCACAGAACCCCACGACGCGCCCAGACAGCCCAAGAAGACCTCAGAAGCCTATAAGAGGACCCAAGAGGCCCCCAAGAAGTCCACAACAGGCCCCAAGACAACCCCGCGCGGCGCCTGGAGCAACGTCTTTCTCCAATTGCCTCTTGTTGTCCTCTGTCGTCGTCGTCGTCGTCATCGCCCTCCGCATTCCTCCTCGTACTCGCCCTCGTTCTCTTCGTCCTCGTCCTTGTGCTTCTCTTCCTCCTCGTTGTCCTCATGCTCCTCCTCGCTATCCTCACGTTCGCCACGTCGTCCTCGTCATCGACTCCTCGTTGCCCTCGCCTTCCTTTTCTTCTTCGCCCAATACGCCCATTAGACTAAAGCGGCGCTTCCCCTTCTTGTCCGATCAGGTTTCGGTGTTTGCCCCGTTGCCAAAGAAGCACGGATATGCAGTTGTCCCTCCAGCTTCACAGGGAGGAGCGTCAATTCCTGGGCTCGGCACGCTTACAGTCAACCCGCATGTAGGGATGGGCAACCTTCCCAAGGGTGCCCTTGCATCCTTGCCTCCTCGGCCCATCCTTGGCCACTTTCGTTGGCGCCGCCCCGCTGGAGAAGCTTTGAAACGGCCTTGCAAGGACCTTGCATTCTTAT